CCTAATAATAAAATTAATTACATATTAACTAACAAATCTTTTTAAATTGATTGTGACAAAAAAAAATTAAGTGTGTATAGATACATGCATGCATGCATATACATACATACATGCATCCATCCATCCATATATACATGCATCCATATTGTACATTGAAAATCAGACTGCACGATTCTCAAGGAGGTTCAACGGGTCACACAAAAGAGATGTCAAAGGATCACATCATCGCAGTCGTAAAACCGAGCCATCTAGCATCACTTCATTCGGTCGGAAAGGCCGACTAAACGAAAATATATATGAGTCAAGGAGCACTTCACACTTGAACCGGTGACGGCTATACAAAATCAATGCCCTTAACCGATTATGGGTCATTTACAGAAATATTACCGGTCTACCCAAAGAACTCGTTTAACCTTCCAAAAAGACCTCTTGTCTGAAGAAAGACTACCCATCCGATTATGGTGACGCACCCTCTGTCTGATGAAATAATCCTTTCCAATAATGAGAAGATCTCCACGAAGGGTTCTCTCAAGGAGGTCAACCGATGATCTACCAATCGAAGGATTTTAGCCAGCCAAATGACGATTAGGCGACCCATTTGAACAGTTACAAACACGAAGTGGTGCCGGTAATGGTTACAAATATAAAACGATGCCAACTACGATTACAAAGAGCAAAAGGTACCAGCATCGGTTACAAATATATAAAGGTGCAATGTTTCATTAACTACTTGTAACATTCCTATTTAATCAAGGACAAAAATATAATTTATTAGGTCTCTCTTATAACCTAAAATTATGTTTCAAGAAAACTTGTGTTACTGTGTGTTTTGTTCTCTCTTTACTTCCTTTTTTTTATTCCTCTCATAGCTCTATCTTTTGGGCGTGGCCTAAAAAGTATTTTGGGATTCAACACATACATATATAATATATACATACATACATCCATATATGTATAGAAACATAATATATACATACATCCACACATTCACCCAAAGATACATACATTAATAAATTCATGCATACATACATTCATGGATGCATGCGTGTGCAGAAGCATGCAAGCATACATATACATACATACTGATAGCAGAGTTAACCCAAACCACAACCAAACGACAAATATTATGGTTGAACTTCAAAGAAACTACAACACAACTCTTCAACAGAAACAACATAAGAACATGCAAACAGTAAGCAACAATGACAACTGCAAAATAAGAGAAAGGACAACAACATAAAAGACATAAATGGTCCCCTCTAGAGGAGGGCGACAGATCCGGATGATAGATAGGCAACTGTTGTAGGTCTGTAGTTGCGATGAGCCGGAAAGGTGCTAGAAGGTGGTTGGCGCACAGCACAGCAGCAGAAAGGGGAGTCCTGCTGGATAACAGCAAGGCAATGACCTGCTAGAGTGGTAGATGGGCTGGAGGGCAGGTCCTGGGGCTAGGCGAAACAACAGTTTGGGGAAGCGGGACAGCAGATGGGAAGAAAGGGCTAGCAAACAGGAAGGTTGAATAGCAAGTTGGCTAGTTGAACAGCAAGCGGGGATGATCGCACAACGCCAAAAAAAAAGGTTGGACAGCAGGTTGGAATGTTGTATGGGTGGCAGCAGGGGCGACTAGGCAATGCTGGGAAGCTGACGGCTGAGAAGGAGGGTGGAGGGAGGGCTGGACAAGAAAAGGAAAGAAGATACACCACCACCTCGGATTATGATACAGTCGGAGCACCACTACTTCCTCGGATACAGCCCTAGAACAAGGAAAACACTCCACACAGGAAGCTCAACTCAAAATAACCACCAAAAACTGAATTTCCTAAGCAAAACACATATATATATATATATATATATAATACGGATTAACACTTATATTAGGCAATGTTGTAAAATAAGAAAGAAATTAAAAAGGGAAGAACTAGAAATAGACCATGCTTGTAGAACAAGAAAGAAATTAAAAAGGGAAAAATTAGAAATAGCGATGACTTATAATAGGAGATTAATGAGAAAAGTAAAAATAATTGGGGGAAAAAGGAAGAGAAGGTGGGGTGGCAATTCCAGCCTCCCCAGGAGGGCCGGCTAGTCTAGAGAAAGGTCGGACCTGCCCCAGCTAGGCCGGTTTGGCCAGCCTCCTCAAGCAGCCCAATGTCACATACATTCACTCATACATACATACACAAATACTACATATACACGCATACAAAAATCCTACATATAAAAACATGCATCCATCCATCCATCCATCCATGCATATATATATATATATATATATATACA